TGATCACACCAGTTTCTTTTCAACTCCTAGACAACATGCTCTGAGCTGCTTGCCTCTTCCTGCAGCATGACTGGAGAGCAAGACAGCTAGTCCTTCAATAAATTATAACTTACACAGCTGAGCACTGCAGCAGCCTTTTCAGTTTGACCTTGCACATGCATTAGGCAAATACTGAACTGTTGTGTTTGTATTCAGCTAGGTGCATTCGCTTTCAAATAAACAAAACGTGTACTTGAGGAGCAGTGAAAACACACACGCAAAAAAAGAAAACTGAGCAGCTTGTTTTTCCAGCCAGTATTTGTTTATTTTTTTAAAGCCCATATGCAGTCTCAGGTTAAACAATTTAGGCAGATTTAAAGCAAACATTAAAGTAGCATTAAGGTCTGGGCATTTTTTACCTTAATGCATTCTCTGCATTAGGGTAAAAACGGCCTAGCACCTTTTTTCTATTCCATTCCCTCCCCCCCCCCCAGTCTCCTACACACTTACCTGTCAGCTGCGCTCATCCCCGCCGCAGGTCCGAAGAGATCCTCTGTTCCCCGAACTTCCGGGTTACTGATGGCAGAGGAGCCATAGGCATCTTCTGCCATCAATCAAAGAGGGAAGGGGCGTGGCCTGCCACAGGGCTGTGTGTGTCTATGGACGCACACAGCCACTGCGGAAACGAGCGCACATGGGTGCCTCAATTAGAACGATAGTGGCACCGTGCATAGGGACCATGGGGAACATAAGTAGCCACTCTCCAGAAGGAAGTACAGTGCCAGGTGAAATTCAGAGATGATTTGAGGATATACATGTATATATATATACACACACACATATATATATGTGTGTGTGTGTTCCTTGCAGTATAAATTACTTTTACTTGGGTTAGGGTTTCTTAGCTTCTTAAGGGTTAAGCATTCTACTTGCTTCTCCTTCTTTGTAATGTTAGGAGGGGCTGTGAGGGTGAGGGTTTTCTCCATTGTATGTTAATTAAGTTAATGAGAGAAACACAATTCTCAAATCTCAGTCCTAGGTGTTTCTATAAGGACAGATCACTGTGAAGGTGCTCAGAAAAACCTGGAATCAGCCATGTTGCCTGCTACAAAAACAACTTAAAACTCAAAAAGGTAAGACATTTTTTTAATATTATATTTCAGTATTCTGTGTAAACAGGAACACACAATGAACATAGAGGTGTTTTCTCAAATTTGACTGCAAAAGTGAAAATACACTTTAAGAACTCAGAAAAACATGCATTTGAATGTGTCTTAATTTTCTTGCTGTTTAATTGAGCTGCTGTTCCGGCCTAAAACTGATGTTCTCTGCAACAGACTGAAGAACTGAGTAAACACAGTGGTCTATCTCTAGCGGTCTAAAGCTGGTCACACTAGTAGATTTCCAAACAAACCTTTGTATGAAAGATCTTTCTTTACCACTTGATATTGCCATCAGACACTTGACGAATATCGATTGAAATTTCATTTGAATCTAACATTTAATGTTGGAGTGAATGGAATCTCCCATCCGAAAACCACATACATTGTTAGAAATTAAATTGAGAAAAATGTTCCATCCTGCACCGTTAAGTTTTTTTTTTACTGCGGTTAAAACTGATCATCGTTTTGACCGCCATCAACTAATAGAAAGTTGAAAGAAATTTATTTTGAAAATCTAAGCAGTGTATGGCCAGCTTTATACACTCCTTGCCTAATCAAAAGAACAGCCCCATGACAAGCAGGGGGTGTAAGAACACTGCTAACTCCAAGTGCACCAGTCTTTATCATCAGCCTGCTAAAGGCGACAGGAAATTTGGGCTATCATAGGATCTCAATTAAACAGAGAGAAGAAATAAGGCCCCTTTATGTATTTTGATACAAGGATTGCTGAGAAGCTTTGTTCCCGGAGTGTGGGAGCAAGAAGAAATATTAATTGGGAGACTGCATTTGTGGACACACTATTGTGCTTGTGGCTACTGTGAAAACCACTTGGCCTTCACCTGCCTTGTTTATGTATATTTATTGCAACTTATATAAAGGTTGAGGTTGTACAGACTTATATACGGGGAAGTTCATTACCGAATAAATCTATTATTGGAGACTGTGATCTATATGCAATTTATATCCTCAACTGCAGACATATGATGGTCATAACTCAGAATATGCAATAAGACCTATATATGGCCTGTATCCAAGATAAAAGCAAGAAACACCAATCATGCATGCTGCGTCCTGTGGGCAGAATTGAATGCACTGTTTCCATGTTTGACTACAGTGCAATTATAGTCTTCGCCAATGGGAGGAGCTTGTGAATACAACTCTAATCAACTTTGCACCCCTGAAGCTAAATATCCATACAGAGATATTAAAACAATGGCTGGATTGGCAATGATCGTATGCTTTAGGCCCTTGGTTCTCAACAGGAGGGTCGTGACCCAAAAGTGGGTCGTAACCCCATGTTCAGTGGGTCACCACGTGCCTTCCTCAGCCTCCCCCTTTTGCAGCACTGCCAGTTCTTGAGCCATACAGCCATTCAAAATATGCAGCCCGATGCCGAGTGTCAGCTTGAGGTGGGATGGGCTGGGGCTATTGCCGTGAGGGAGCTCCATCCATACGTACAGCCCCCTCACTTGTCCTGTATCGGTGCCTGGACCAGAGTGATGTAACATTCTGGCTCCTGGCACCTCTACATGGCACACAAAGGAAGCTGTACAAGCAATGCACATATAACTGGAGCTCCATCAAAGTTCAGAAGCCCACACTGGACCCCAGGCTGAGGATCCACTCCAGTTCTGGTAAGGTATAGAGACTGGCACCCCACATGCACCTCCCACCCACAGTTCGATCGCCCGCACCGGAACACACTGTACTGAAATGCTGTGCATTCCGCCGCCGACTTGGGTCGCGACTTAATGACTAAGGGCAAATGTGGGTCCTGAGGTTACACAGGTTGAGAACCACTAAAGCAGGCCATACCATACACCTTGCAGCCAAGAACTCTTGGTTGATGAAACAAGAATATCCTGAACTATAGCTTTTGTTTTCCCCTGAGATAAGATGGTGCTCAGATACCTCCTACTACATTTTCCATAGGCCAACATATGCTTGTCCACTCAAGCAAACACACATACTTGGACCACAGAATTTCATAATAAAAAATTGTGTACAGCTGGCTGACATTTAAAATGGTCATACACCTTCAGATTTTTTTCATTCAGTCTGTGGGGCTAAAGAGCGTGGATGGGATAATCTCCCCTGGCATATATTGCATTCTGACATCTGGCACCCGCAGCTGTCAAAATGCCCAAACAGTGACTGCAACTGCAGTGGCTGCAGTCATTGTTCAGCCAACAATGTCCTCTTGACTTTTGCAGATCCAAGTGGTGCCAGCAGGGTCTCCCACAGACTGAATTTCTGCTGATTCAGTAGAAAATAGCTGACATTTGATCTGTGTGTGCCCAGATTTAGTGTCTATAGCAACCTAAGACCCAGCCTAATAAAACATTAATCTGCTGAACTTGTCTTCCTGTTAACCTTGCCATCCAAAATCTTTTGGAACAAAGGCAGAGACATTGTAAGCTGTATGGCTATAAGAACACAGGTTCTTAAATAAAAAACAAAAAAAACAAAAAACAACTTAGACGGAAGGCTTCTTTCATAGGACCAATTACAAACAAACACAGTAACAAATTATATACAAACAAATTCACAAATAGATTTTTATTTTTTTTAGTTTGCAATTTTCACCATGCCAAAGAATAAAAGCATTTTTCCATGCTCAATATAAACTTTCTGTGTACACAACTTTGATGGACTGAGTAAATGTGCTTCAATCCTGCTTATAACACCTGACCCTCCGACAGGATACCTTCAACAATTCCAGCATGCGACTAATATCGGATAAGCCGATGACATCTAACAACCACATGATTCTGGCATCTGGTTCAGGCAACAGAAGGGGTCACTCACAATTAGCCCCTAGGTTATACAAATCATGGGGTTTACATAGAATGGTTTAAAGATGTATAGGTATCTTAAAGTGACACTAAACTCAGGATTGAAATCTTAAAAATGCATAAAATGTACCTAAACTATTAACAATCCTGGACCTTATTTGTCTATCACTCGGCTGTAGATCCTCAAATCATCTCTAAATTGGTTCTGGCACTGTCCTTCCTTCTGGAGGGTGGCTACTTTTGTTCTCCATGGTCCCTGTGTGTGTTGCAAAGTAGCCACCACTGCAAGCTCACTCCCCTGAGTACAAGTTCACGTTTAGTTTACTAATTTTTATTGAGATTGTAGTCCATCACAGAAGTGAGCTTGGAGCGGTGGCTACTTAGACTACAGTATGAATTCAAGGATGATTTGAGAATCTACAGCTGAGTGATACACAAATAAGATAAATTGTTAAGAGTTAAGGTACTTGAATGCATTTTTAGTTTTAACTCCAGAGTTTAGTGTAATTTTAACTTCATCCAGCACATGCTTTTTAAGGAAGCCTTTCTAGAGCTGGCTGCAAGAGCTGTATTAGATTATACACACAAATGTGAAAAATACATCACTTAAAGCTCAAGTTTAATCTCACTGGTAGTAACATAACTTACTACCAGTGAGGTGTGTCCCCTGTCCTGGTGGCTGCTGATCCTTGTAGAATACCTCCCGCGAGTGCAGTAGGAAAAGAAAGAACATACAAATGCAACACCCTCACTGAATAGGTGTTCTTATATGTATTTTAAGCACCAGAGATTGTTGATCCAGGGAATATCCGACTGCCTTATGAGATCAGGAAGGAATTTGTTTCCCAAGTTGGAGCAAATTGAACTGTGCCTAATAGGGTTTTTCTTTTTTTTTGCTTTCCTCTGGATCAACAATGGGTAACTGTGGGCATAGCGTTCTGTTCGAGGTTTTTCTTATCTCTAAAGGTTGAACTCGATGGACTTGTGTCTTTTTTCAACCTGATTAACTATGCAATTATGAACAGCATAAGACTAAAAGATGCAACTCATAAACATCACTTACCATGTGGTACAATTGTCTGTATAGGCTTGGCAGATCGTACATTCCATATTGTCAAGGTGCCATCTGAATGACTACAGATGAACTGCTTTCCTTCATGGTGCCAAGCAACAGAATGGATTGCCTATTCAAGGGTCAATAAAAAGAATTGATGGTGAGTGTACCAATACGTGCATTAAGCAAGACACACTTATATCTCACAGAGCGATAGAACAGAAATAGGATACCTCATATTGCTTGACATTGTAAAACCAAAATCTTTATCATTAATACTGTATTTTATCTTCATCATAAAAAAGATGTGCAAAATATTCTGCATTAAAAAAACTGACACAAAAGCATGTAAGCACGTACTTAATGAATGAACTACAATCTAAACAAAAACTTTTCTATACTATTTAATGGTAGAGTCATTTAGATAACTACATTTAACTTATTAATTCATTTCAGTCATTGTACTGATGTACAGATTATTTGATCTCTTTAACACCCAAATGAATCTATATACTAAATAAGAATAATGGTGTGGCCAGGTCCTACTTTTTTATTCTTTACTGGTCTATGACTGTAAGAGCCATGTGGCCCTAATAAATAGTAACAGTTTTCATTTTTTTTTTTCCTGAAATCACATCAGTAATTTCATAGATATAAACTGCCACATCATGCATTCTAGGAACTGATTGTAGCACACAGTACATTAGGTCCATCTACTTGCTAAAGCAGAAAGGTCAAGTGGTTGTACCTTGACCTACACAACTGCACAAACAATGAACAATTATAATATACCAGGATAGGTAGAGTAGTCAGCCAGAAGCTGAGAGGGTATTGTGAGTGATCTAGGGCTAGTGATCTAGGGCTCAAGGGCTGTATCAGTAAAGTGACCCTAGAAATTATTTTAAAATCTCAGCAGCTATGAAAAGCATTCTCATTTTCTGGGAAAATGGATGAGCTTGTATCTTATGAACTCAAGTAAGATGATAGGGGCCACCAGTAATAAGTGGTAAGCAACATTTCTATTTATTCTGCACTGGGTCACTTGGTAACCAATGTTATTACAGAAAACTGTGAAATGTTATTATATTTATATATTATATATATTTCTGCTGTTCCTCCCTTTTCAAAATTAAATTACAGGAGTGCAGAAAGCACATACTGCTTCATGAGAAAAATTCCCCTTAAAAGTAGATTTTTAGAACTGAATATTTAACACTGCTCCAAGGTTCTATCTAAACTCAAAGTTATAATTATTAGATTTAACATGGGAGACCACCTGAACTCTGAAATGGTGGTACAGCCAAATAATACAATGATTGTTAGTGGAAAACATTACATTTAATGGTCAGATTTTAGATCATAAAGCACTGCCAGTCCCAGTGAGATAGCAGTCCCACTATATTTTATAAAGGGATAGTGAATGTCTTTTCAAAAAATCTTTTTTTCTTAAACAACTTACATCAAAACACATTTTGGAGTTGCTGTGCTCAATGGTGAACAACAGTCACATAAAACATAAATGTACCCCAACTTCTTTCAGTGCATGCAAAATCAAACGTGTGCAAAATAGATATATTCAAACACGGCATTACATAAAGGGCACAAATCAATTTTTTCCCATCTGTTAATACCCCCTCATCTTCTTTGATGATAACCAGATGCGGTATACATATGATATGATTATCATTTCATTATCAATTATAGTGAACCTTATTGTCCAAAGAATAACAGACAAAAAACATTACTACTGGATGTAGAAACCTAAAGTGAATTTATCTGTCACAGAATAGCAAAAATAGAACCATATTGACAGTTACATTGCTATAAACATTCACAATTTCCATTGCTGAGGAAGCATTTCATTCTTCCAGACCCATAACATAAAAATGCAAAGTTTCAATACTTTGTAATCCAGATATTTCTATTATGTTATTAGTAGCTGCGAGTAAACCAAGTGGGATTAAACCATCTGTGGAATTTGTAGTAATGGTTTCAGATGGAGGCTAAAAAATAAAATTAGGAAAAGTTAGTCAGTGGGGAGTGGGCTAATGACAGATGTACATGGAGTCGCCTCACATGACCTTTCAGTGCTGTTAGTTAACAGACGGAGCATTAGCTGCCAGATGTTAATCCCCCAATTGGCATTTTCTGCTTAAAGGGGTTATCTTCTAAGCATTAAGTATTTCGAGATAAGACTGAATACACTGCATGATAGCTAAGAATTCCAGCACATGCTGGTCCACAATACTAATTCTTAGAAGTATTAAACTAAAATCTGGTCAGATATTGGAACTCCATGCACATTTTATATGCTGACTTTTTTTTTTTGCTTATTCACTTGTGTGATGTATTGTAGAAACATTTTAGTTTACAATGCAGCCATGCTGTGCCACATCAAACACACTGAGGGGTACAAATCCATTTATAATTTTGCAGACAATATACTGAAAAAAAGGGATGATAGAGGGGATAGCCAATGTTCTCGTTTTGTCTGACCATGAAAGCATTATATTGAAACAAATCGGTATTTTGACTCCACTAGATACAGTAAACGGTTTACTTGCTAGAAGGCTCCACAAGTGTTAGTTTCGTTGACAAATTATTTGGTTTTTTTTTTCATCATCTGCATGTTTTTTAGTGACGAAAATGAACCAAAAACTAAGTAATAGACAAGTTAATAGGATAAAAACGATGACAAAAATTCAGTGAATTTTCGATGAATGAAAACAACATGAAAATGGGAGGGACTTTTCAACTTTGGGTTCCGTGAGCTCTTCCTGCAGTAGTGAGACATGCACAACTGAATAACCACCTACTGATCTACCCAGCGGGACACTAGCTAGCAAACACAATGCATCTCACTGTAAGTTACAGGTCTATTTTTAGTGGGATATTTACCTGTTTTGTCAATGCTGAGAGAAAGAGAGGAGTTGATAAAGAGTAGTGATTGTTATAGTTCCATGCACTAATGGCATTTTAGCCTGTGACCTTTTTCTTTAAAGGTATTCGAGAATTAGAATAGTCAGTTGATTCTTCCTATAGATATAAGCATAACCCACGACTATGGGTTTTCTTATACCTATGTTAGCTGCAGAACGTTTTGTTGTGTTGTTACTTGATATTTGTAGTCATTATTAACAGAGAACGGTTAAAGTTTTATATTCAGGTAATATGTGCAGTGGTATTACAGTCAATAGTTTACTTTTTTTATATATATTTTAAAGTTGCACATCTGTTTGTGAAAAAGTAATATTCTTGTTTGTTTATGAAATAGGGTTTTATTTAATTTTAAGGTAAAGATGTTCTATATCACAACAGCTAAATCTGTGCCTGTATTGCATGTTCAAAAATTAATACCATAAGCAATAACAGGTTAATAGAGGTTTACTCCAGGAACATATGAGTTTGGAAATTCTAGAGAATTGCTTAAATAATGCATTACACTTTAAATAAACCCATAAGATTGTAGTCGACTTAATCTACTGGAGATTTAGTCTTACCGGTAACGGTAATCTACTGGAAAGTCTTACCGGTAACGGTATTTCTAAGAATCTTCCAGGGCAGCAACCTAAGTAGGCTTGCTGTCCTGGAAGATTGTTAGAAATCTACTGTTAGTCTTACCGGTGACAGTATTTCTAAGAATCTTCCAGGACAGCAAGCCTAATTCGGGTTGCTGTCCTGGAAGATGATTGGAGAAATGTACGGTTAGTCTTACCGTTAACGGTATTTCTAAGAATCGTCCAGGACAGCAGGCTTACTTAGGTTGCTGTCCTGGAAGATGATTGGAGAAATAGCATTTTAGTCAAAAGACTAAAATGAAGACTAAAATGAAATTTGCTGTCAAAATTAACACTGGTATTTACCTTTATCACAACCCCCGTCCCCCCTATTTGCCACTGTAGTGTCTGAAATATTCCTGTGCAAGGTTTGAATATCATATACCCTAAATATGCTTAAGGCTAGACATAACACCCCTACCCTCATATTCCTTTCCCATTCTCCTAAAATGTGTTTTAATGCAATTTGCAAAATATATTTCCTCTCACTCCCGGTTCTGTATGTTGTAAGTTATGGGGTATTTGCATGACTTGAACTATGCCTGCAAGATATGTTTGTGGTGTATGTGGGTGTATACTAATGTGGTGGCAGGTATGCCTTTGCCTGATATAAGATACCTCAGTGTTATGCTAACTAGGGTTTACTGTGATGAACGTCCTGACCAGTAGGCTAATAAGACTGTATCAGGGTTGTTGAGCATAGGTTGACTGTACACTATGGAAACAGCTGTACAGGGTTTTCTTCAAAAGAAACCTGTCTAGTTAACTGCCAGAACTGATTTTTTTTTTTTTTTTTTTTAAGTACTGTAACATCAAAGGGATCATCAGATCAGCCAATCAGAAATCCCTCAAGTGTTAATGGCTGTTTATGAAGGGAAGAGATTAGAGGAAGACCCCAGGTATATAGTCATGAAAACTATGAAAGGAATTCTTAGGGCTTTTATTATTACATTATTTGTATATACTCTGTTGGACTTATCTGTTTCTGGGATCCGATAATCACATCCTTGACTTGTGGACTAAATGATATTTAAAATACTCCACAAATCACACATGTTATCACAACACTGTTGACTGCAGTCACTAGCAAAGAAAGTAAGGTACATTTTCCCTAACTGAGAAAAGGACAGCAATGTAAACCCTCCTACTTTTTTTAAAAAATGTAATAGCTCTAAGCACTTATATAGATTGTATGGCCATTTAAAGAAAAATGTTAGGAAGCCATCTTTATTTGCTTTAGAATGTGGAAGAGCATGCTCCTTAGCACTTGATGTACTCGAAAAAGACCTTTTAAATATAGCTACAGATTTCAGATAAGTTGCCTCATAAAACAGCCCCCTTCTTATCCTTACAGTGCAGTTTTTAAAATGCTTCTCTTTACTCTTTTGTGACTATCTGCCACTGTTTACAGGCAGTTGGGTCAGCAATTATGATCAAAACACAGCAAAGAGATGGCTTTGTTAAAGGTAATACAATCTGTAGCTGGACAAGCTAGTAAACACAGGTTAGCATCTACAATACTAACAGCATGTGACACACTTCTGCTGCTTGTGATTGTGGCAAAAGTAAAATATTGCTTTTACATACCTCATCATATGTGTATCTGTAGTCCGCCCTTTTAGACTTGAGATCCCATAACACTACTGTGCCTGACTCATAACCAATCAGTAGCTGAAAGTCAATAAGATATTAAATTAGACCAAAGATATCAATTAAATAAACATTATAAATATTTTCCAGTGTGTATGTATATATATATATATACATACACACACAAATCTTCAGCTTGCATATTTTGTTTTAAATATTTCTTTACGATACAGCATGCAGATCAAGAGTATAACGTTTATTAAAGTATGGGTCGCGACCAAATCTGGATCATGGACCCTTCTGCCGTGGGCCACTGCTCCTGTCAGAACAAGGGGAGAAGTGACATTGTACAAACAATGCAACAACATGTACAGCCTTATGCTGGCCATACACCTATTCATTCTTTTTCGTTCAACCCGCGGGCTGAACAAAAAAAATTGGCCCAATTTCTCCAACAGAAATAGTGTGTTGATCGAGGAATCCCGATGTGTACATTGTATACTAAGAGGTGCCTCCGGCACCTGTCAGAGTACACGATCGTAGCAGGCAGCTCATTGGCTACCGTCTCTGCTCTATCAAAAATATTCCAGCCGACTCCTGCAATCAGCTGAACGAGGAATGCCGGCTGAAAGGTAGACAGCCCCACAAACACACTGCAAATGTCGTACGGTACATTAAACACCGGCCGAAATTTGACCAGTGTATGGGCACCTTTATGCACCTTGTAGAGCTAATCTAAAGCAGCTGATGTGATTAGTGGTGTAATGGGCAAAGAGCTGTGGTGCAGAGGTGATTTGTGGATTAGTGCATGAGTGATCACTGTTGGAGATGAAGTGCAGAGTACGCAGAGGTTAGCAGTCATGGAACAGGGGTTCAGGGTCTGTAGAGGTAAGCACTGTTGAAATAGGGGAGCTGTGGGTGTAGAGATAAGCAGTAGTGGAAGGAGGTGCAGAAGTGAAACATTTTTGACAAGGGGAGGTCAGCGGTGGATGCAAAGGTAAGCAGTGGATGAGGTGCGCGAGAAGTGCAATGCAGAAGTGAGCGGTGTACAAGGGATGCAGAGGTGAATGGTGGATGGTCTCCCTAAACAGGTACTTTCAAGTCATGCTCCATTAATAACTGCCAAGTTTGCCAGTGGGCTTATTTTAGCTCTCATATGAACTTTCAAGCCCTCAAATGGCTGGTGTCATAGCTGATCACATGCGCAGCACTATGGCAACTGCAATACAAATAGAGACTAAGGGTGGTTCCTTCCTTGGATGTTAAGGATATGATGTGTAGTTCTGCTTTAAAGCATATTTTGCAGCTACAAGGCCTACAGTGTTTGTGTGCAGTGTATACAGTTCTCAGGAGCTGTATTTAACCTTGACCTTTTGAACCATACCCACTGTAATCATGCTGCAATTTTTGTACCACATATAGCTGAATTAGTGCCATAGTTTTAAAGCAGTGAATGTGACATTCAAACATTCACTGCCATTTAAAACACAACACTAGGAAGACACACATGCAGAAAATGCGTGATGGATGTTATATTCACGTATTTATAAATATACAATGGTCTGATTGTGTAAACCCCTAGCTGGCTTTAAATGTATGTAGCCACAAATTATGATTGACAAGGGCAAGACTAATGTAAATGTAAAATACAACACCAAAAACAATAATTGAACAGTAAAGCAGCTTTACTAAAACATAAAATAAAAAATTACATTTTCATGTACATACATAAAAGAATTGTTAATGGTCATTATAATACAACATTAGTTCTCTAATGGGGAATAGTCTTTAGGAAGCAGTCTTACAGTCAGATGCTTTTTAGCTCATGGTCAAATATGCACAATCATATCAGTGTACAGCAGATGTTCAAATTACACTGTGAAAGGCTTTAATTTGTACATAGTGAAGAGAAAGCAGTGCTTGTATTGTCATTCATAAGAGACGTCATCACTGAGGAATATGGATGATTTAATTTTGCCAAATAACTGAATTCAAATGCACAAGAGATGTAAAACCAATGGCACTCTAGCTGCTGTTGCTCAGATACTGAAAATCTACATGCAGACATTCCTTCCCGAGTGCAAGCTGGTATTTTATTCAGTAAATTCTTAGCAGTGAATCTACTATAAATGTGTGGCATATTTCAGACATTCTCATTAGATTAACTGTATCCTGTAGAAAATTGAATTTGGTGGTAAGATGACTGAAGAAATCATTTCCCCAAAACTGTTGGGAAATGCAGTAATGCTGTTGTAATGCAGTAATAGGGAGCTTAGCAAACTGTGCAACAGTCACAAACTTTCTGTATATAATATAAAGAGAAGACCACTTCGTGTTTCCTGTCTGTGTTAATACAGGACTCCTACCCTTCACTTTAGAGGAGCATGCACTAACTCCTGCTCTCAGTGTTAAACTGCCCTATGGTCAGCTATCCTCAGTTTTAAACGCCCTTTCTGTGTGGCACCTTTCCTTGCCCTACATTGTTATCCTTTTCCCCTGGCTCTTGCTCTGCCCGTCTGCTCTACTTTTTGAGGCGTCTCTGCTCCCCTATTCTGTGGTCATTGTTTCCCTGAAATGTTTAGGACTTTTTCCACACAGGACACATTGCAATGCATTTTATAAAACTTTTCTGTTAGCAATTTCAACTGCTGATGTGAAGAGTTACAGCACGTGCTGCTTCCTGATGTGTGAGCACAATGCCTCCATGGGGATAATTTTATAACTGCCCTTTTCTTAAGGAGCTAGCAGCCAGTTGCTGGCTTCCAATCCTGGCTGCCACAGTTCCTGATCACGTGATCACAAAAGCTATGACACAGTGATTACATGCAGACTGTGGGCTCCATTGTAAAAAATAAAATAAAAGCCTTCAGCCGCCTGCAGTTGAACACTTCAACCTTTAGGCTGACGTCAGCTTTATATTGTAATTGTCAACTATAAAAAAAAAAAATGTTTCTAAATTTTTCCCATTAGCATATAATAAAAGTTACCGGCAGGGTTTTTATTACAGTGAAGCAAATAAAAAGCCTTGTATGTCCTGAAAAATAATGTAAATTTGCCACATAGTTATTTTAGTCAAATTAACCGGAGCATGCTAGGCATCATTGACCTTGTCACGAAAAAGGGGTGAGTAAAGATCACTTTTTTACACATTTAGTTGGAGTACATGTCTATCCCTTGAAGACCATTGTATGAACCTCAGTTAAAGTATCACCTAGCACGAGTACCATGCATACTACCATGTTTCCCAGAAAATAAGACACTGTCTTATATTTTTGGGGGCTCAAAAAAACACACTAGGTCTTATTTTTGGGATAGGTCTTTTTTTTTTTAATGTACAACAATCCACACTTATTCATGTACAAAAATATGGTGATCAGGGCAATCAGGGGTGCCGTACCTTTCCAAGAGCAATTTGGTAGCCAATCACTGGCCAGAATGAGCGAAGCGCACTTTTACTATCAATTCCTCACAGGCGGAGTGCATGTGGTATCACTCCGCCTGTGACAGGAGCCGGCGCTGTAGAGGAGGCATCGGCTTATGCGGCTCTGCTCCCTCCGGTGCCACCTCTCTCCCTCTAGCGCTGGCTTCGTTGGCACCGCTGATTCTCTCCTGCCTCTCCCGCAGCTCTTCAAGTTCCCCCTTATGCCATCACCGGCCCTGGGAATGGTCACAACTAGGTCTTATTTTCGGGGAAACACTTGATCTCTGGATTGTAGCCTAGCAATCAAGGGATTGGGCTTTCTACTCCATGAGGTCTGTTTTTTATTTCTCCAGGAAAGAAAGGGGGGTATGAAGTCTCCTCATACTGCTTTTGGAGAGGAGTAGAGTGGATATGTTTTGCAGAAGAAGGCCTTGGGTTTATCTAGTTTTAGATGTAGTCCCAAAACTTTGGCAAACTTAGACATCAAATTAGAAAAAAGTTTGCAGATGCAATTTAAATTTATGTACACCTTGAATTTCTGAGTATTTTAAGAGTACTTTAAGAGAAGGTTTCCTTCTCATCGTTCCTGCCAATGGTTCAGTTGACACAAAGTTAGCTGAAGGTGCATCCTTTTCTTGTTCCTCTATGAACATAAATAGTCTGGAGTGTAAAATATGGGAGTTAAGCGGAAGCTGAATAGTATAGTATAAAGAATTTGCAAAGCCTTTATGAATTACTTGAAATTCCAAAGTTTGCCAACACACCAAAAGGACTAGCAACATTTAATTTTCTGCTGATTGTTTAAGTCAGCTTAATATAATGGTGTAAAACCCACTTGATCTTTATGTGACAGTCGGAAATTGTTCTTGTCCAATCTGTAGTCTAGTATAGATGTGAGGGATTTAAAATCTTACATTAGTAAAATAGTTTTTCTACTGCTTTAAATTTATTGGGTTTAGGGATGCTTCATTCAAGTAAAGTAAACTGTGGGCTTCAGTACTCAATGAACCGATTATGCATCCTTTTACCTAGGGATTCATTTTTTTTAAATTAGGGAATACAATAAGTGAAATATTTCTTTCAGCAGATGGAACTGAAAACATGGACCCCATTTTGCTAGTTTTCATGCTTTTCGAGGGATCTTGGCTAAGAAGTAATCTGGCTGCTGGGGTCAGCTGGAGCAAGGAAACTTTACAGATAATTATATAAAAAGAGTTCAAGTATTGTGTCCAGGGTGTTTGCACATCTCTAATAGAAAGCTTGAGTCCATCTAAGTGCTTTCTTTGTTTTGCTATTGTATAAAATTCTAGCATAGTGTCATGTGCTTTCATGCTTAACTTAGAGGCTATTTGGGCAATCCTCCTATGTGAGCCTTGTGGGTGCACCATAGCCACAATCAATTATGGCCACTATTTAATTTAAACATGTTGTCATGCGTTTGGCTATAAGTATCAGGGTTAGATAGTCTAAATAAAAAATATGGGTAATAATTACTGGGACCTTTGACTTCCTTCCAGGTATCCACTAGAGCTAGGCACTAATGGATGTTGGCGAGTCTAATGTGTAAAATAAAGTTATCTGTTGTGGATTAGGGGGTAAAGAGGTAGCAGCCACAGACTTGAATGTAAAATAGGTTTCAACAGCAAAAGATGGAACAAAA